TCATAGCTCGAAACCCCCAAGTTAAACAATCCTCAGTAAAATTATGGAGTTTTACTTGTTGAGACAATGGTCAATGCCGAAGTAATCCGATATCCCTTGGAATAATACTAGTAGGAAATCATGGGAGTTTGCAAGAAGCAGATGAAATCATGAGAACAGGAGCAAGTCATGGGAGGTCACAAGAAGCACAATCATCTTGGATGCCGCCCTCACTCAGCAACAGTGGGACAATGTGTATAATATGAATGTACTAGGCCCTTAATGCAACTTAATATAGACTGTTACTGGGTGAGGGCAGTGCCCAATAAAATTCTTCCAAAACACTAGGACATTTCACAGGGAATTACTTCCACCCAAAGTTGCAGAAACCGACGTCCCAAACATCATAGCTCGAAACCCCCAAATTAAATAATCTTCATTTAAATCATGGAGTTTTACTTGTTGACCGATACAAGGATTTAATTAGTACGCGAGCAAGGAATAGGCCATGGGCTTTCCAGGGCAGATTTCCCTAATTTGTAGGTATCGCCCGCGTATCGCCCCGCGTATCGCCCAGAACCTCCCTCAACTTGCCAGGCGACGGCCATCCTGGTGGTGACGATCTCTTGGGCTGCCTGTCTGGGCTGGCCAACATTACCCAAGCACACGATCGTGCAGCCTGCGACATTTTTCAAGATCCCCCTCTTCCAGCTCCAGCGCAACCGCCTCCTGAAGTTCGCTGCCAGTCTTGCCAGCAAGACATCAGCGCAGACAAGAAGAGTCCGTTCCCTGGCTGGTGTCGTCCTTGCTTCGACCGTGAAGTTGCCGCGCGTGTGGCAATCCAGAAGTCATGCGGCTCCGACTCTGAGGATGCAGACGTTCTGGCAATTCGCCAGGGAAAACCCAGCAGAACTTCGTGGTGCACGTGGTACAGGACAGTCTCCGCTTGTGTTGGCTGCGACTTCACTGGCAAAAAGCAGACAAGTGCAGCCGCTTTGGAAACTTGGAAGTCTATGGATGCTGCCGCTCGAACTGAGTGGAAGGAGTCCTATGCTGAGTGGTGCCGCGATGATGATCCGGTGACTCCTACTAAATCCTCAAAGCTCCAAGAGAAGCTGGATGATGACCCGGAGTCCGCTGTGAAGACCAAAGCTCCAGGCCAGCCTGAGAAGCCTGCCCCTTTGCACAGTACCCGTGTCGACACTATCAAAGCTTTCCAGACCCTGGGCCTGCTGAACGAACCTTTTCATTGTGCTTTCGCGTTAAGTGCTAGACCCCTAACTTAGAGCCAAAACACTGCACCTACACTGTTTGCCCGAGCCGACATGCAGTTTCTGGTAAGGAAACGTTGGGATTACTTGAAGCCCAAGCTTCGCAAACAGTCCGGCATCATGAGCCACGGCCTTGAGATGTACTACCTGTACTTGGACATCTGCCACTTGATTAAGACCAAGATTGTCAAGAATGCGTTGGCGGCTGAGGGATGTTTTGCTGACTGGAGAGTCAATCGCATGAAGGTTGGTAGGGTGCTGAAGCATCTGAAAGCCCAAGAAGATGCTGGCGGCAGCGTGGACGACCTACCGGGAGAGTTCGCTACTGGCCGGTATGGTGTTGGCTACTTGACGGAGGAGCAAAAGCGGGACATGTGGGTCCACATCACCATGTTTGCCAAGTCCAATCGGACTTTGACCATCAGCCAGTGCAAGCAGGCCATGCTCAAATTTTACCTCCTCAACGAAGGAATCCTGACCGAGGAGAAGGCCAAAGAGTGCGGCCATGACCTCGATATGCTGGACTACGACTCCTATAAAATTCCCATGGAGAAGGTGTGGCGCGATTTCAAAGAGTGGACTCAGCGCAACTACCCAAAGGAGTGGGCTGTGAGAGACCGCCGGTTGTTTGCGCTGCAAGGCCTGGACTTTAAGCATAGGAGGTCACAAGAGGAGGAACATTCCCCTAAAAATTGTTGTTATTCCATAAGGACACCGTAGACACCCACTTGGTTCTGTGGCAGAGATGGAGATGCAGTTTCAAGTTGAGCACTTGCTTTTAACATGCGTGTGCGCTAGGTGGAAATGTAGTTTGAAGTTGAGCACTTGTTTCTAACTTGGTTCTGTGGCAGATATGGAAATGTAGTTTGAAGTTGAGCACTTGTTTTTAACTTGGTTCTGTGGCAGAGGTGGAAATGTAGTTTGAAGTTGAGCACTTGTTTTTAACTTGGTTCTGTGGCCGATATGGAAATGCAGTGTGAAGTTGAGCACTTGTTTTTAACTTTGGTCGTTTCCTATTGTTTTCTTCGAAAGCGCTTCATTGCAAGGTGAGCATGCCGCGCACTGCACACGTGAAGTGGTCTCCTCCTGCTACGACAAACTGTCGGCTCTCCTTGAAGAATGCGGCCTGGTCAAGGATGGCAAGATCACCACGGATGCGAACACGCGACTGTGGAGCGCCGACGAGAAGGGATTCGACAGCTCCAGCGACAAGATCAAGTACATGCGAGTTGCAGCTCCCACGGCTCTTGGGCGTGCTACTGCGGATGCTCCCGGAAACAGCTTTGGCCACATTACCATTTGTCCTTTTCTGGCAGCGGGTGGGTTGTGCTCGCCACCGTATGTGGTCATGACTGGCACATGCCATATGCGGGCCTGGAAAGAAACTTGGTCTGAAGCCAAGGTCAGTGCGACACCTTCAGGCGGGATGACGGCGCAACTGTGGACGCAATACGTGCTGCTCTTCAATGACTGGCTGCGTGCCACGCACGATGTGAAAACCACAGAGCCTGTGGTGCTCCTCATTGACTCAGGTGGTGGATCCCTGATCCACCTGAGCACGGACTTTACCATGCTTTGTTGGGCGCGTAACTTGCGGCCATTTGTGCTGCCGCCATACGTGACATCTGCTCTGATGCCGAACGATCAGCAGCCGAACTCGCTTGCAGAAAAGCGGTGGCAAAAGGTGCGTGCTGAAGGCCGCGAACTGTCTAGCCTTGCAGCCTTGGACTGCATCCACGAGGTTTTTGACTACGCCTTCCAGCCCAAGACCATAGTACAGGGATGGGCAGCTGTTGGGATCCGTGTGGGCCATGCCATCAACCGGGACGTAGTCTTGGTTGACCGGGGCCAACAGCTCTTCAGGTCGACCTTCTAACTTGCGAGCCTTTTCAAGGTTCGCTTTTATTCTTACTAGATTTTTCTCATTCGTGGTTTCTTTATGACATCTCCCCAAACGAAAATCCCTCGTCAAGAGGGCTATTTTTTGTAAATACGGAGTCTCAGGTCGACAGTCCCGAGAAAGGAAATGGACTATGAGTCTGCAGAAGCGCAAGCCCTTTTGCCTCGTCCAGAAGGGTACGTTCGCAAGCCTGAGAAAGCGCGCTGTCCCGAGTGCGGCAAGCAAACGCCAAGCAGCATGCCTTGCTGTGGTTTCTGCGGCAAGGCCAACCCTTCATACTGCGCAATCCGCGCATCCGTGGAGGGAGGCGCCAGAGCAGCAGGTTTCTCTCGCAAGCAGCCGGACCTTTCAGACGTGCCTGCGGTGATAAACGAGATCCCGCCGGCGTCCAAGGCAAACCTCTCCAAGTGGAGCGGTGACTTGCTGCTTGAAATGCGCAAACGGAAGAGAAAGGACGAAGAAGGTGATGGACAGCAGCAGTCGTTGGTTCCTGCAGAGCCTGCAGCTTCGCAGCCGCCTGCCAAAAAGCCTACTACTGGCAAAGTTCCTGCGCAGTCGTTGAGCGCAGACCAGGCCTGGGCTAAGGAGTCGAAACAAACATGCCTAACACTATAACGTAACACCCCAAATTTAAAAAATCCTCACTAAAATTATGGACGGTATCACTTCGGACCAATATTCTGAATGCATTTTTGCTGTGTTGTGGTGACTATAGAAAGGGTGCCTTTCCTGAGCCTTTATAAGCCGATCATGAGGAGGCAGCGCCCTTGAGCGACGAGTCCGACATGGAGTGGGACCTCAACAACCCTCAACATGCTCAGGACTATGTGGAGCACCATTTTCCAGCCCAAGATGTCGAGAGGGCCGGCATGACTGTAAAGCAATTCGAAAAGGTCATCAAGTTTGTCATTAGTGAGCTGCGCTTGAAGACGCCAAGGGCGTCACTCGCGCATTGGTTCAAGCGCGAGGTGATTGATTCCGGTGTCTTGAAGACGCGGAAAAGCCGGATCGATTTCCTCCAGGCACACGCAAAGCAGCGAGCTTTGCAATTCGTGGCTAAACCGAAGCCGTGCTGAGCCGGAAAGAAACACTGGGAGGGACAGAGGCGTATGACTAGGGGTCCGCTGGTTTTGCCTGGCTGTGCCCGGCAGTTGTGCAAGTCCTCAGGTGTCAAAC